ATGTTGATAACTGACTCGCGACTTCTCTTTCAACAACTGAACAAGAATATCTCCATCAACCTGTACTGCCTCCTAAATATCAAACTTTCAAAGATGAGTAATTATCTTACGGCTCAACTTACTAAACCAGGGCTGTAGTAATCGGGAAGATATCGATGACAAATTTGCACAAAACAATAAAACGCATCTCTTAATAAGATTATTCATTCAAAGCCAGCAAGATGGAGAAATTGGAACCTCAAAGGCATATGCATCAACAAAACAGAAGCTACAGGTGCTTGGCCTTGGCAATAGCCCTCTTCAGGATGAAGCACTGTCCAGGCCTTTAGCAGTTGAAACAAGTCATCCTTGCTGTAACAAAAGAGATGTGAACAAAAAAAAAAATGCATAGGTCAGTTCCTACTCACCCGCCATCACCATATTTTCCGTTGCGCGAGAACATTTCGTGATTCGGAAACTGCCGATTCAGGTCTTTCTCAATATCGTCTATCCATTTAGGATCCCCAACCTGATCCAAGCATTTCTGAAACCCATCTCTAGAAGATGTTTTTGCAATGCAGCAAAAGGCTTCCTCAGACAAGCGCAATTTCAAAATCCTCACATCAAAAACTGTCCTATTAGGTGAAACTTCCATTTGATAAGTAGCACCACATAAATATTTCCAGGCTTTCCCACGGACTGAAGGAGGAATTCCCTTTCTGCATCTTTTTCGAACTGTTGAATACCTCAAAAGAAACACGTATTCACAAATCAGTATGTACTGAAAAAATTCTTGAGAATATGAATATATGAGAATATGAGAATAGGCACCATCACAGAAAGAAGATGCTTTTCGGAATGGATAATAATAAAGATGACTGCATCATACCAAAACCTGATGAACTCCAAACTATATGTGAAACTAGTTTGAGTCAGCGCATGATTTTAGATGCTAGTAGCTTTGCCATAAAGATGGGTGGAAGGGAGGGGGCAGAATGCGAATGCTAGGCGATTCCTATAGCAGAAAAATTATAGAATAGACTTGTGGCTTGAAACCTTACTGCATTTGCGAAGCTGCAATACCTACTCGGTAGCACTCACATAGTGAACCAAGAAGAACGCAATAAACGCGATGCATACATGTTCTATCTCCTGCGAAAAA